GGGGGGGGGGCACCCGGGCGGCTCCTTCCGGAGGAGGAGAAAGGCCGCGACGCGGAGGGGAGCGGCCGCAACCTGGGGGGAAGCCAATCTGCTCCCCCCGGGACACGGGGGGGAAGCAAAGCTGAGCAACGTCGTAGCTTACTCGAAGGGCAGCCCCTTCCGTTTTATCCCTTCCCCCGATGGGGGGGGGGCACGGTCCGCCCTCTCCCTCCCATTTCCGTCGAGGGCCGAAGCCTCCAGGGTCGGCGGCACCGGCCGACAACCCCGCATCGACCCCCGTCGCGGGCAGCCACCGCGCGCCGAAGGCGCTCCGACCCCCGTCGCGGCGCGACGACGAAGCGAGGTTGACCCCCGTCGGGGGGGTACCCCCCACTCTAGGGGCCGGGGGCCCAACTTCACCCAAATTGTCTCCACCTAAATTGTCTCGGCGCTGCGCTCCCGCGCGCTATCGCGCGCGCTTGGGCTCGGTCGTATCGATTTTCCCAAGACCCCAAGACGGGCCAGGACGGCCCCAAGAAACCCCCAGGAGGCCTGGGGCAGCCCAAGAGCGCTCCAAGACGCCCAAGATGGCCCCAAGACGGCCCCAAGACGGCCCAAGAGGCCCCAAAGAAGCCCCAAGAGCGCTCTAAGAGGACCACCAGGAGGGCCCAAAGAGGCAAAAATCATAGATAATCCTTGAATGTTTCGATACGTTTCGCGTGCTCGCGCTTTCGGGCTTCCGTCCAAGATGACCCCAGAGGCCCCCAAGACCGCCCCAAGACGGCCCAAGAGGCCCCCAAGAGGGCCCCAAGACGGTCCAAAAAGAAGCCCCCAAACGGCCGCCAAGCGGCATCAAAACTGCCGCCAAGAGGCACCCAAGAGGCCTCCCACGATATCCAAACGAACATCCAAGAGGCCTCTAACTCACAACCCAGGCGCGGTGGCGGGATAGGTCGAAGGCCACGATATAGGTATAATGATCCTTACGTTTAGTAATAGCGTACCCTTGGTCTTCGTACTAGTAATACGATTAGCATTCGCATTCGAATTGTGAATATCGGTGACATCAGTATGATTAGCAGTACTCCGCGTCATAATTTTATGATTAGTATTCGCAGTATCAAGAATAACCGTAATACCATGATAGCAGGAGTATTACCTATACGAATTAACATAATAAGTACCAGTTGTATTGTTCTTAGAATCCGTATATGTACTAGTATTCTTCCTAGCAGTATCATAATTATGTCCCTCTTCCTTCTCCCTCCCTCCTCGCGCTCGTCCTCCATCCTCCTTTTCCTCCCCCCTCTCTCCTCATCGTATTTTTTCTCCTCCTCCTCCTCCTCCTCCTTCTCCTCCTCCAACTTCTCTTCCTCCTCCTCTTCCTCCTCCTCCTCCTCCTCCGCCTCCACCTCCGCCTCCTCCTCCTCCTCCTCCTCCTCCTCCTCCTCCTCCCCCCCTCCTCGCTCATCCTCCTCCTCCTCCTCCTCCTCCTCCTCCTCTCCTCCTCCTCCTCCTCCTCCCTCCTCCTCATCATCATCATCATCATCATCATCATCATCATCATCATCCGCCTCCTCCTCCTCATCCGCCTCCTCCTCTTCCCTCCTCCTCCTCCTCCCCCGCCTCCTCATCATCATCCGCCGTCTCCTCCTCATCATCATCTTCCTCCTCTCCCCCCCCCCCCCCCGCACAAGCCAGGGACCTGGTGAGCACATCGGGATAGCTGGGGAGCCCCCGTCAGCGGAGCTGGCGGGTGGTTTCCTTCCTCCGTCATGCTTTCTCCTTCCTCATTCTTCCTCCCTCGTCCCTCCTCCCTCATCCATCCCCCTTGTCCCTCCTCCCTCCTCCCCCTCCATCCCTTTCTTTATACATAACTCATCTCTATCGCACCCCGAGACGTGTCTGCGTTTTGCCCGAGACGTCCTCCCCATTTCCGATCCTGAGTATGATAATGTGCAACAGCTTCACGGATGGATGGCGGGTCGCTTTGAAAATGTGGCTCTCGCCTGGGCGCCCTTCACATTCGTCTAAACAGTTTGCAACAGACTCACGGATGGAGTGCGGCTCGTTTTCAAAAAGTGGTTCTCACCGTAGCCCCGCGCATCTTCGTTTTGAACAACTGTGCAAGAGATCCGCGGGTGGAGGGCGGGTGTTTTTCAAAATGTGGATCTCGTCTTAGCGCCGCGCACAGTTTTCTTAGCGCGCGTTTCTTTGTAACGCCCCCCCCGCCGTGTGGCTCCGGCACCGCAGCCGCGCCCGCGCGCGCCAAGCGACGAGCGACGAGCGGCGACGACGACGACGACGACGACCACGACGACGACGATCACGACGACGACGACGACGACGACGACGACGACGACGACGACGACGACGACGACGGCGTCGACGACGCGAGCAGCATGTAACTGGCGATATGCCCCACTGCGCCTGTGTACACCACAACGCTCGCGTGCACCACAGCGCGCGTGTAT